GCAATACTGTCCGTGTGCCCGTCCTTTTTCAAATAAGAACTGCCAGTAGGTCAACATTTTCCAGTTGAATCGGTAAGACCACAACATGGTCAGATTCTGGGTGTGAGGAAAATAAGACAAACAGCAGGTTTCTGTGGTAATTTAATTATATTTTCAGAAAAATTTCCCTTTAACAACGAATCACACAAACAAAACAATTATCTAGAAAACACTAAGAAAAACTGGGGGGGTGGGGGGAGACAAGAACTGAGTCCCATACTTTTAGTAGTTCATGAAATATGGACCCAGTCAAAATAACTTAATTTGCGCTTTTCGTTAATCTCCACTTCCCAGTCCCATTTCCACAGCGTCTTGTGGCAGCCTTGCGCGCAGGCCCCACAGAACTGGCGCTGGCCCTTTAGGCAGTACGGTCTCGTCATCACGTTAAACTTGAGCGCAGGGTTGACCGACAGCAGGGTCTGGACCGAGTCCTTGTGGCGCCAGTCGTGGGCGCAGCGAGCGGGCAGCAACCTCATCGGAATCAGCCTGAGGTCACGCAAAGCCGGCAGAGTCTCCGGCGTGATGGCCAGCAGCAGCTCGTCCGGAGAGACATACACACTCAGCTCGAGGTGCCTCAAGGCCGGTAGAGAAGGCAGCGTCCTGAGCAGCGGCTGCAGCTGAGGGAGGAACTCTATCCCCACGTCGTCGCTATCCACCCCGACCAACTCCGTGAACCAATCGTTGTCGATCTCCAGCACCTCCACGGCGGACCGTCCAGACCACGCGAGGGCCTCAACCAGATCGACCCCGACGTGAGCCGAGGTGCGGGCCGCGGGGCGGTAATTCAGGGTGAGCTGAGGGAGCTTGGAGGCGCGCCGCAACATCTCCGTGGCCCCGAGGACTCCTGGTCGCATGTCAGGCGTCACCTGCAGCGTCACCTTCGTCAGCGACGGCGCTAGGGTCTCCATGCCGGGGAGCAGCGAGCAGGTGAGCTCCCTGAGGTTGGGCATACATTCGGGAAGAGATCCCGTCGATGTTGTGGTTTCTCCGAGGTAGACCACCTCGAGGGTAGTGGCGTGCCCGGCCAGCACCAGGTCGACGAAGGGCTGCGAGTTTGAGTTGAGACGGCAATTTAAGTACTTGAGGGACGGCTGGGCTATGGGAGTGTGCCGGATGGCCGCGGCAAGTCCGCTGCTGTCCCTATGGTCCCAACCGGACCGGATAGTCAGCTTCTCCAAGATGGACGACGACGCCACCGTCGCGAGTAGCACGGCGTCGTTGGGTCCGCGGTCATCCGTGAGCCAGAGGGTGACGACCCTCAGCTGACCGAGGGCCTCCTGGTTGCGCAGGAAGAGTGCAGCTTGCACGCCGCCGTCGACGTCGACGTGGGTCATGAGCTCACGCACCGCGCACCGGGTCGTGGCGTACAGCGCTGAGGGGACGTCCTGCTTCGGCGAAAAGTCGACAGACAGCCAGGCCAGCCGCGGCGCTAGGCGCAGCAACCGACACACATTCTCGCGACGTTCGGGCCTCCAGCTGTGGGAATGTTGGTACCGCCAAACGCCGGGGTGCAGGGCCAAGACACCGAGTCGCTTGCACACGAGACGGCACGTGAAGAGGTCGTCCACGCCCACGTACTGCAACACGAGCAGCACCACGTCGTCCGAAAGCCGCTCCATCGCTAGTGCAGAAACAAACGACACAAAATTTAGCCACTCGCTAGTGCTTGTGTCCCAGCTGTAAGCTGCAGTCACGATGTAGGGGGCTCACTACATCGTGGCTGTAGTACACAGGTCGTTCTCCCCCCCCCCCCTCCCGGCTCGCGTGTGCGCTGCGCGTAGCGCTCGGACGACCTAGAGTGGCGGAGCGTAGTGGGAAAACACAACTAACCTACGAGTCGAACTGTTTTCAACCGCGATTTTCGCCGTTTCGTCCGTATGTTTATCAAAACACGTACGAAGGCTGCCCTTAGGTTGATTTTCGTCTGCAGCGGTGTAATTTTTGGACAGTGTTTTCTACAATGGTCCTGATAAAGGTCCCTGCTACGCTACTCTGGATATGTTGAGAAATGACGAGACTGATTGACGCTTTTCGAACCGATTCACGGATGACTGACCTACCTGTGTTGGGAAACCAGGAAGCGCCGAGCTGGACTTTATGAGGGAGGTCAAGGTCAAACTTCGGCTTCAGGTCGAAGAAACGATGCGATAAAATGCGGTACGGAGAGCAGCTGCTTGTTGCTTCTGCTCTCTGACTGCGCCGCTTGCCGCTGAGCATGCGCACCGGACCGCGCACGAGCTAACCCTTCTCTCTCGCACAGTGACTACCTGTCTCTCTCGCACGCACTAGCAGACTGTAGTTGCCTACTGGAGGAATCTGGAAAGTCCCGCCAGCCAGTCTCTGTCCCATAGCCCTCCGCACCCGGAGGCACGCTTTTTGGAATTTTCCAGGTCGTCTTGTCATCCTGCTCGCTCTCGCACCAATGACCTTCTTATGGGAAATTATTTGAAATATTAAAATTGTTTAGTCTG